AGATCTTGCATCAACATTCCTATGTAAGTGAAATGTAAAGGTGTAACACTAACGATGGTCAGACATGATTTTACAACCAAGCTAAAGCTTCTGAAGGCACTGGGATTTGTTCCCCACAAAGGGTGAAGCCAAGAGGGAAGTCAGAGTGAGGTGGGCCCAAGTTGTTTGATCTATGACTCCACCTCACTTTTTAGCCAATAGGACCATGGGCCTAGTCCAACTCTCATCTGAATCAATGGAAGTTTTAGCAGTAAGTTCCTAGTTCAGCAAAGCTACTATTTATATTGGGGTAGCACCTAGAGGCCACAAAAGAGCTTGAGGCTACATTGTCTTCACTATCTTACTCACCTTACAAACACATAATAAACAACCGTTCCTGCGTGTCAGCATGTACTCAACACTATTCCCTGTCAGGAAGACCCAAAGTCCATGCAACTGGCATCTTACTGTGGACTTCAACAGGCTTTGACTAGATGGTTAATTGCTTTGACAAGTTAGCACCTACTTTCCTGTTGGGAACAGGACTGGGACATGCAGAGTAGACAGGATAGAAAACAATGGGTGCTCAGCAGTCATCAAAAGGCCGTGTCTATCAACACCTTGCATTTTCCCCAGTGTCTTCCGCCTGCCGAAGATTAGCTGTTATGGGGCAGAAAGGAAGCACTGAGGGGCAGGAAGAGGCAGTGACTGGGGGTGGAATCGAGTAAGAAGAGGTAGGCCAGGGGCAGAAACAGGTAGGATCTTGCCGGACGGGGCTGAACACGGCCCAGGAAATAAGGAAGTCAGCACCTCTGTGTGTATGCACAGAAAACGAATATCCTAGAATTGCTTCGTTGACGCTATCCATTAAGTCCAGTCACGCAGGGACTCAGTGCGGGTAGGATTAGAACCCTAAACCCAAGCAGTGCTCTAAATCTTTCCAAATGTCCAGATTTTCTGGAACAGAAAGATAGCCTCACCTCAGTCTCCAGGAACCTCCGCAAGGCCCTCTTCTTCTTGATGCTTTTCCGCCGCACGTACACGGCAAATGTCAGGCCCATAATGACGATGATAAAGAGGCCACCAATCACGCCTGCAGCAATCAGGGGGGTTCTACCAATCAGAAGCAAAGACTTTAATACAAGGCATGGAAAGAGAACAAAGAACAGCTGCATGCATGAAATAAGCCACCTGGAAAGCTTATGAAGCGTATAGCTCTCAAACGCAGTCATGTCAGATGATAAATCAAGGAAAGTGCATTAAGTGTGGCCTGCTTTCCTTTATCACATCTCGGGTGTGATTTTGTACTGCACTACTTATGAAGTCGCAGAGAAGGAAACGCACCATGCACTTTGATGGCAAATGCAAATCTGCAATGGCAAAAAGAGGATACATTTGTGAGACCCTTCTGCAAGAAAGTTAACCGACCTGACATCTTCCTTTTTTAAATCCAAGTGGATGAACACTTGTTTTTGCATATAAAAAAAGCCCAACAACACTTGCATCTCCCTAAACCGGGACTGTCTCGTCTGGCAACCTCTCTGGTCTGGCAGGACCATGTATGTTGCTGAATGAGGGTATGTCTACACTACCCCACTAGTTCGAACTAGCGGGGTAATGTATGCATACCGAACTTGCTAATGAAGCCCGGGATTTGAATTTCCCGGGCTTCATTAGCATAAAGCTGGCGCCGCCATTTTTAAAAGCCAGCTAGTGTGAACCCCGTGCCACGCGGCACGGGGTTCGCACTAGCCGGCTTTTAAAAATGGCGGAGCAGGGCT